GTGGAACGGCATAAATCACCCGGAAAGCTTACATGATATACTGAATGAACCATGTGCGCCAGAATAGCGTTATTTATGCTCCTGACTTCACCTCTTCTCAGTCCTACCGGTAGGTGTTCCCGTATTTCTTCTGACTCTTGCGATTAATATAACCTGCTCCACAGAAGCAAGGAAAGGAGCAGACGTACATTGAGGTGATCTGAGCTAGCAACCTATACTTACCTTCCCCGTGCAAGAACGGGTTGGTTACGAGTGATACTCGAACTCTCGCTGCTGGTAAGGTTCGCGACATGCCCTGGTCAAGGCGTCTTTAAAGGGACTTCACTAACCGCCTTTCCTTAAAAGGGACTTTTGAATAATAGCGTCCACTTTTCAACACAGAAAGTGTGGTTAATCTTATTTGTCTCGCCACTACGTCATTTGTGATTAATCTTGCGCGATACCCGTTCTCGCCAGACAGGTCCTGGATTTGCCTGAGCCCCCACCCCCGCTCAATCCTGTCCGCCAAGCGAATGTCCTTTACCGCTGCAAAACTAGATGGCGCTACGCAAAAGTACGCTGATTTAATTTTATTTGAGAAGAGGAAGAAGAAGATTCGATCGCTGGGAAAACACTTTTATTCGTCTGACGCTTCGACCTCCCTCGCGGATTCCCCACCAGAGATATAGGTAGAAAATAGTGCCACATACGAATGATACATGCACAGGAAATTGCAGTATTTATAGGATGCAGTAATTACTGTACACTTATGACAATTAACGACAATTGCCTCTTGTGCGTTAATTGCTTGCTGGCCGGCATGCAGGCCGTGACCTGCTGAACTTGATTGGGCTTGGATGATTGCTCTGCCATCTGGTCGACCGATGTCGGGGTAAGATGACACGGTGGCCTGTGTGTTCCCCAAATGGCCACTTGCTTCGGCCAAATTGAGCCTCGGCACCGAATATGGATTGGGCAGATGGTGATATTTGTTCATGGCCTGGGGGTCCCTGAACCATGACTTAAGCAATTCTTCACTCACACGATTTCACCTCTTCGGGAATTTTTGACTTCACTGCAGTGCGTCTCTACGCAACTGCGTTCGTGGCTGATTGGGTGATTGCCGTTGAAGTTCAGAACTTGAATCGTGCCTGTCACTTTCTGGAACAATTTGCTCTTCAGGCCACCACAATCCTTGCGGCAGACGCGGACATCAAGGAAGGCCAGCTGGTTGTTTTCTTCCTGCTCCATCGTAAACTGCATGTCCGGGAAGACACTGTTGATACGCCCATTAAGCGTGAGCACCTGATATCATTCGATGACGACGAGGGTAGCGTCCACTTACCGCACCCAGAATTTCTGTCGGTGGTGTTGGAAGACCAGCGACTCTAACCATTGTAGGACCGCCTGGGCTATGAGTCCAGAAATCAGTAAACCCATTGGTGTTCCCTTCACCTGCTCGTAGATTGTTCCGTCACAAGTGAAGGATGTCCTGCGACACAACGTCTACAGTATTCGGGCATGTCAGAGACAACCATAAGGCGTCAGATAAAGAAACCGAATGACTTTGGCCATTGCCGAGTGACCACTGTGTTTGTGCGTTCTAATTACTTCCTT